TTTTTTTAATAAAGATCATAACACTAGTTCATTTCCACATTATCTACGAGATTTTCCTCTCAGCGCTATTTTGTTATGGTTTCTTCTATAGGAGTTCACTTTATATTATTACTATTCTACTAATATATATGTAAATACTACCGTATTTACGAGGAGATGAGGATACACATAAAAATAGAATAAGAAAAACTATAAGATACATTGTTACAATTAAAAAATTAAATTTTTTTAATCAAAAAATAATAACGATGAAATGGAGTCACTGAAACTTTATTACTAATCTCTGATAAAAAGAACATTATAAAATTATGATAAATTTGTCGATAAAGATAATTAAAGTATGTACCATAATTTTTAGTTAAAACATTATTGTAATTAAATATTTAAATAAATAAAAATTTTCAATTTACAAAAATATATACAATATCACTTCAGCAATGATACGAAGAAAAATGAACTAAAAACGTGTTAGGAGAATCATCATCCCTACTCTCGATTCACTGTACGCTTGTATAAATACGTTGTGCTCCTCACGCTGTCGGCGCGCATGAATTAAAGAATCGAGCTGACAAAGAGACATCAGACAATGTATGATGCTGACTTCTTTTCTATCTTTCTTTCAAGGAATCGACACATACACATACAAAGTATAGATATTCATATTCATGTAGCGTATGAACTTCCACTGTTTGATACAAACGTGAAACAGCGTCACTGCGCCTTCATAAATTGAAGGAAAACAGCTAAAAACTCCATAAATTTCAAAATAGGCTTTCATTTGAGTAAAAATGACTCTTGAAAACTATTTATTTTTAGATATGATTTTTGCAAAGAAAATAAGATTTTTTCTAAATCTCAGAAGATAATTTCATCTGTCAAAATCCTTATCTGTCAAATAAGATAAGATCACCAAAAACAAACAAAAATTACGACCATGAGAATTCAAGGCATAAATTATTATAAAGAAAAAAACCTACTTAATAATGGTGACTGAAGTTACCAGTTTTAATGGTTTTTATAAATAATAATAATAATAATATAAAAGAGTAGAGTTACTGTTAACCCATAGGTTTCCAACAGCAACCTCCACGTAGTGGAGGAAAACACATAGTCTTTGAGTACGCAATATTATTGTCATTATAATGTATATCAATTTTGCTATAATATGCATTCCATCGTGATAAATATAAAAAATTTTGTTACACAATACACTATCTCGATTGTTAGGCTACGCGTAAAGAAGTATGACCCATATAAGTTTATATACCGATAGAATAAATGTATAGTGGATATAATGTTCTTCTATTGCGCTTGTAGTTCATGTTTTGTCCATACATATCGCTGAAGTCATACACGCTTCGAGTAAAAAGTGATAAACAGACTTAAGGTGCGTATCCACTTGTATATCTTTATATCGTATCACCTTTGCATATCATTATTACGTATTATCATTATGTGTTTATCCGTACAAAAACTGAGAATACGACCTATCCTTTGCCCGTCCACATTAATACGTAACAATGATAAGATATGAGGATACGCAACAAGTGGATACACTTTAAACGTCTGTTTCAAATATTATTTTATGTTCAATCTAAATATATATTTAAAAAGCAAGTAATGTGTACAGACTTTTAATCAAAAATTAATTATTAATTGTTAAATAGTGAATACAGAAAAGATCAATAAACATGTATGAACCGTTGTATATTGATACCACTGTAACGTGTCCTTACAATGAAAACCATCGAATTGCTAGATCACGTATTCAAAGACATATCGTCAAATGCGAAAAGGTAAAAAACTCAGAACTAAATAAATCCTATAATTTTTAAATAATTTGTTTTTATTTCTGGTAGAATTATCCTAATGATTATAAAATGATCTGTCCGTATAATGCGACACATCGTTTATTTAAACATGAAATGATGGAACACATTATTACATGCCCAATGCGGAAACTGATTGATCCTGAATTATATCAACGTAAATATTTCATAAAATTATTTTTTTATATATTAACTTATTCTTATTTCTTAGTAAAAATTAATTAAAAATTATTTCAAATATAACTGTTTTGTCATATTTGAAATAATTTTCGTTCACGTCAAGGAACTGGAAATCGTGCATTGTTGAAGAATAAATTACAATGTGATATAACAAGTTTGATTGATTGTAACGAAAGTTGGGACAAAGAACTTGATTCTAATTCAATATCTCATATAAGAAAAAATCTTCATTTTGATATAAGGTAATTTTATGTATATATGTAAAAAATACTACAACAATAATATGTATATTTATATTATTGAAAATAGATTATTAGCATTGCATAATAAGCTTATTCTATTGTATATACACATGATATATAATATATATATATATATATATATATATATGTTTTAAATAATAGAAAATGTAACACAGAAAATTACAAGGATTTGAGACGCCCACGTGGATTTTCAGAAGTTATGTTAATTGATGTGGACGAAGAAACTAATGTTGAAGATATGGAATCAATAACAAGTTCAATGGGAATGGGAAGAGGAAAAATCAGTGCAAATAAAAATTATTTAATACAAAAAATTGGGCTAGGAAGAGGAAAGATTGTGCACTAAAAATTCTATTTTAAAGTACCTGGAAATATATAGAAGATATGTATAGTAGAACATCTCATATCCATATTAACAGAAAGACAAAAATAGTTAGATAAGAGAAGAATTTTTAGATAATAGAACAAAAACTTTTTTCTTATATTGAACTTTATTTATTCAAATAGAAGTCAACATATTTGGTACTTTATTTCAATATTTAAAGAGCCGAAATGACAGTTTAGATAACAGAATTTTCAGATAATAAAATGTCTAGATATTAGAGTGTTTGAATAATGGAAACTCTACATATATACGACATAAACAGAAAACAGAAACAAAAATATTTTATATCAGTTATTTTATATAACCTTTTTTTCATTAAATTTAACATTAATAAAACTCATTCATAACATTCAAACTACATATATTGTTTATACATAAGTATACTTATATATTTTTATTTTTATAAAAGAAAATAAAAACAGTTATAACATAAATGAATTTTTCATATATTCTTATGCACTAAAAAGATAATATAAAAATGTTTAATTATGACATTATTATCACACATAGTTTCAAATATTTACTTTGCTAAGGTGCTATCATCTTTAATACCAATCTGCATTGATTGTGCAAAAAATTAAAAAGAGATACTGGAAATAAATATTGTCTCTTTACAATTGTCATTTTATATAAGTTGAAAATGATAAATTGCTTCATCTGATATATATTTGTAACACACGCTTATTATTATTGGATAATAAGTAATCGTTTCTTTCTTACTTCATTTAGATATTTCTTTTGCATAAATCATGTTTATTTTCTCTCATATTGTACATCGATTCTATTATTTACAAATAACATCATAAGCAACTTTCCTGAAGATGGAAAGATATTCAGTACCTGATTACATTACAGAAGACATAAAAAATGTCATTACAAATATTAGTATCTATGGGTAAATTGTTTTTTTAAGCTATTTACAAGTCGTGTAATATAATGGGATATTTTTCCAACAATGCTTAATTATCAATTAATGCTTTTGTCATGTACAGACATTTGATTTAATTTATAAAATATAGTAATGTAATTATAATATTTCAATATAGGTTTATCATAACTTCCAATTCAGGAATTTTAATACATGATGATGATGATGATGATAATGATAATATAATGATAATAGTAATAATAATAGTAATAGTAATAATAATAATAATAATAATAATAATGATGATGATGATGATGATGATGATGATGATGATGATGATGATGATGATGATGATGATGATGATGATGATGATGATGGTGATGGTGGTGGTGGTGGTGGTGGTGGTGGTGGTGGTGGTGGTGATGATGATGATGATGATGATGATGAACAGAAGTACAGCATGTGTTATATACACCTTCTGTTCTAAATTATTATACTTTTATTTCTTAATACTACAAATGTAAAACTAAATGTTATGTTGAAGCATGTAAATTTTCATACATAAAAGTAGTATTAATTTATATTTAACATTAAATTATTTGCTCGACTTTGAATGATTGGTATATAAACAGTGCAGAAGTTATGTAACTATTTTTTATAATAAATATAAAATTTAATATAAATCGGTCTTAATAGCATGAGAATTTATTCAATGATACTTATCAATAACCCAATGTTATCTATATTTTTCATGAAATACTTTTTTTTTTTGAATTTGTTATACTTCATATTTACAATAATGACAAGATTATCTCATTATAAAAGAACAATCAGCATCTGGCACTATGGAAGTACAATGTATAATACTTAAAAATGATATAAAATAAATGCAGCTATGAAAAAGAAAAAGTTTCAAATGATATTACAGAATAAAACAAAAATACATATTACAATTTTCCAACCATTCTGGAACATGGAATTTAATGTTGCATAATATTCTCTCTTCTTCCGCATTTTCTTTGGAATGTGTAGCGCTACAGTTTTTTTAATATTAATAGAATAGTGAAGATAATAATTCACAAAAGATGCATTGTCTATCTTATAATATTTATATAGAAAAAACATAGATTTTTATAATTGTGCAGTTGTAAATGAATAATATATGATTTACACGTATGCTATCTTCCAAATCACTTTAAAAAATTTAAGATTACTATTCAACAAGAAAAACAGTTTAGAAATTAAGATTAGGAAAAATGGTGTATATATTAAGAATACTCTTTCTCTCTTTTTCACTTTTACATAATGCTTAATAATAATTGTGTTTAATATCGATGATTGAAAAATCATACACCCATAACCATTGTAGACAATATTAGCCATTTGCTCATAAATTGCTGTATTCAAATAAGAGATTCTTTGTCAATAAATTCTCCTGAAATCTCTAATTACAAATTCTATGTATAAATTCCATCTTAAATAACATCGTTTTACTTCCAAAAATTAGATTAATCAATGTTTGTGATACATGCCAATACTTCTAATTCATAATTTTTAAAATAGCATATTCAGTATAATATGCAATTACAACTTTGAAACATTCTTTATCCGCAGCCATCTACATCAAGAAACATACAAAGGAAGGAAAAGTATACTTTTTGAGTAACATTTAATTTTGGACACTAGCATTTAGCCAGTATTTATATACATGTTCCTAGAATATGTTTAGAGGAATAGAGGCAGTTTCCTAGCTGCAGTCTGTTTTATATTTATTGTATAAAAACTGTAAATTTATTGAGAGCAACAGTTGCACAGTAGCGAGATCATTGCACTAATGCACTTCTACCACATCAGATTGATACGTCCATTAACTGATAAATAGTACCATGTTGTATCAATACAATCTATGTGGTACGGTGATGTTGATATAAAAAGGTTCTGGTAGTTAGCACCTTTTAAATATTTGTTGGTTTTTTCTTCTGTTGTTTCCATATAGATATCCTTTCTTTTAATTCAACCACTGTAAATATTTCAAATTCTAAGTAAAAAAGTAGATTTTTTAAATTTTTTATTTATTTTTGCAATTAATTTGTCCGTGATATTAGTTAAAATAATATATAAATAATCAAAATATATACTTATATATTTCAAATATATTTAGAATATTACTGAATTTTATATAAAATTATTTTTACTGCATGAAATAATAAATTTAGTAAAATCTCTTTTTATACTCTTTAATTGTTACATTTAAAATAGAAATATAATAAAATAATTTTAGTACGAATAAAATTGAGTACTTATGTAAATAAAAATACAAGAAAGAGTACAAGAGACTTACTTGGTGTAAGCATATCCTCGCTAAGTGGTTGACGGCTGAAAGGATCTGTTGCACTATTCAATAAATGTCTTATAATAACTGCTTTGTCCATAACAATACCAGATGGAAGCTTAACAGGATCTTCCATAAGAGTATCCATTAGAGGATCTCGAAATTCTTCTGGCGCATCGCCATAATCTTCATCACGTGCACGATTATCTCTTGCGATCACTGTTGCTCGTTCTGCGAGCGCTATAAACCTCTCAATCTCTGTAGTTGTTTTTATTGCAGACTTTTGTAATCTATTTGCAGCGTCAGTAAATAGTTCTTTGCAAAATGATCGCTGTAATTGTAAATACATATTTTCATGAAATAGATTTGTGTTAAATAAAATGTTAAATAAAATATATTAAATAAAAAAAATAAATAAATAAAGAAAATAAAAAAAAGAAAAAGAAGAAGCTGCTTTAGTATTGTTATTTCTTGATAATATGATACTTGTTTTACTTACCTCGTCGCTAGCTAAAGCAGCTGCAAAATTATCACAGTCAAGATGTAAATATATATCAACCAACTGACTTAATAACGTCCGTGGTTCCCACCCATATTTTTGTGGTTTTCTCACTTTTAAATTTTTACACTTAGGTCCACACAATTGTTGTAAATTAAAATTTAACATGGCACACAATCTTCCAACTAATTCTGGACGCAAAAATGGTTCTGTGATATCAACAGTTAAATAATGAAACATGGCAACTGTTTCTTTAGCTAACGTTAAATAAGATCTAGCTTGTCGTTCGTCTGCTGCTAATTGTCTTCTTCGTGATTGTTGTTGTTCTTCAGAAAGAGCAGACCATGTATTGAGATCAGACATCAGTTCTTGAACTTCATGAATACGTTTTAAAGATTCTAAACTTTCATCAAGTAGAAAAGTTGTGTCATTCATCAACATGTTAATGAATTTAACAAATTGATTGCCATTATTGCTTTCATTCACAATAGACGCCCGATGTACTGGACTATCCCACATTGATTTTAGAATTAAACTAATGTGATAACGAATAGAGAATTTATCGTAAAACTCTGAGCTGGAACCAGTTGTTTCAACATCAGTGTAGAACTTCATAAGATAAGACGCTAAAAGCGTCTTAGATATGGGATGTGCCATGACTTGATCATGGAGTGTTTCTGTTCTACCCTATTGGAGATATTATTTATTAATATCATTAATTTGCATCGATTAAAAATCATTACTATTTATGCTTACTTGAACACTAGGATTGATTACAAATAAAACCTCAATAATTTTTGCAATCAAATATGGATTGCGTATACAATGTGGTGTACATACTACCACAAGTAGCCATGTAATCAATGAATTATCCATATTATTTGCTATTACTGTTGGACAGAATCTATAACAGAAAATATATATGTTATTATGTAGGCAAAACAACCTATATTTGATTTATTAAAATCATATATACAACTTACTGAAGAGTAAATAATAAAAACTCTGCAATATCTTCCACATACCACTCTGGTAGAGCTGTAAATCTATGTGGAATTTCTTGTGATAAAGGAAGTTCAGGAAGTGGACTACCAGGTAAGCTCTGTGTCAAAAGACTAAGTAAAATTTCAGCAACAGAAATATAAAAATGCAAACATCTCCTTAGAAGCACAGGATCAATCAAACCAGCATCTGCACATGATTTGGATTTACCAAGACGTTTTAATTGCTGTTTCCACCGCTTTACTAATTCTTTATTGTGTCCTGCAAATGGAGCATCTTTCCATTGAGGTTCAGATGCTTGTAGTTCGTCGAGCATTTTCTGCAAATCACGCAGAGCTCTTAATTTTCTTTGATACTTTTGTAAAGCTGGTAACAATGCTATATGATGACAGTGTAACGTAAGAAACCAACATTGTGTTGGAAATTTAGCTTCAACCCACTTATGTTTTCTTTCTAATTCTTTTAGCCATTCTGTAACTTCTTGAGAAGTAAGTTTCAGTCTTGTGTCATTTTTTATTTCAACAAAGCTAGAAGGATGAAATGGATACAAAGGATCAATTGTATCCAATTTGATTTTAACTGAGAGCATTTGTAATACTGAGAGTAAGTTTAACATAAATCCATCTCCAGCAAGTGAAAACTCTTCAGTTTGTATTTGGGCACGCTTTTCGTTGTGGTGTAGTAATGCTGCTAAATATGCTAACATAGCATCGCGGCAATTACTATTTGCGAGTATCGCATGAAGCATTTTGTGGAGAGAAGTTCTTGTGCTTTCTAACTCTTGCTGTAATGTCAAATTCATTGATTTATCGGTAAATGGATTTCCACTAAAGAATTTTTCAGCCACCTTAGGTTGATCTTCAGCGAACACAGAGATTGAAAGAAATGGTCCAAGAAATGAAGTCCTTGTAAGTTCTCTTCCTGCAGCATTTGTCATTACATCAGGTAAAAATTGTGCTTGATGAGTGATTAGACGACATATTGGACGTATATTGCCGTTAGGTCCACAACGGATCTCTATCAGTTCTTCTAGTGCTTCTATAGGTCTTCGATGTGTATTACCAACCAGACTAGCTTGTTGCATAGAAAGATAGAGGCCTTGCAGCAAAGGAGTGAAAATTTTGCTGAAGATACTGGAGTTCATATGCGTTCTGGCTACGAGTTCGTGCAAATAACCGCGAGGCAAGCTCTGCGAGAGCATAGGATGAAGAAGTGGCGTGACATAAATAGGTATGACAGAAGTTTGAGAAATTCCTATAAGACCTTGTAAAACAAGACTCGAGTATTGAACACATTGAGCTCGCAGAGTAGATAGTACATCAGAAAGTGGTGGTATACTTGATCGCTGTTAACATAAAAGTAATCAAATATACATGATATGCATTAAACACTATGATTATGATTTACAAATAAATATGAATGAAAGAGATAAAAGTTCAGTATCTAATGATTCACTTATATATTAAATATTTATACCTTGGGATGATTACGTTCCTCTATTGCGACTCGTGAATATGAATCTAATAAATAAATAAGACTTTTAGGCTGCAATGATTTACTTCCAGCAGGTAATGGTAATGTTGGTAATTGATAAGATGGTACAGTCATTACTGGACTCAACAAAGGGCTTGCTTGGCTGTTTGGACTATCTTCACGGTCGGATGACATTTCTGAAGTAATTTCTTTTAGTGGATCTTCTCCTCTTGAAAACATATATAAAACTTCCATAATAGCTTGATTTATAATGTCTGTGACATCAGTTAATTTGTGAATGAGTGCATATGCTGCCATTTCTGGTAAAAGTATTGTTCCTTCTAGTGATTCTTTCCATGATACACACAATACTCGTGATATAACAATATGAATTTGATCAGTGGTCACTTCTGTGCTAGAACTTGTTGTCTAAGAAATACCAATAAAAATCAGTTAATTTAATTTAAGTATATAAAAACTTCTATATAATAAATGCTTACACGTGAACGTGGCACTTGTTCTTTTCTATCCGATTCTTCAACTTCCATATTTTCAATGCCAGAGTCAACATCTACACCAGAGGTATTACATTGTTTCTCACTAGTTTCTTCAACTTCCATTGGAATTTCTTGATTATGAAATTGTTGTTGTATAGCTGGAGACATTATAGATCCTGCAAATGCTTTTGATGGACCTGGTGTACTTGGAGAGATCGCACTTGTATTGTTACTAGAGTTGGTAGTTGAACAATTGTTGTCTAAACCCACTAACCGTGCTAATCGCCTCCTCCTCATCTAAAATATATCGTTAATATAAAAATAAAACCTATTATGTACTAACGTAATCATAAAATAATCATATAAAATAGACAATGTACATGTGCAAAATAAAAGGAAATTAAAAATGATATATCAAAAAAACTATCAATAGTTTTTTAAATATTTCACTAAAATTTTTTAAAGTTACAAAAGACTAAGTAATAAAACTACTAATTAAACTGATAATACTATACAAATATTTGTTCTATATATTTATTTTATTTATTGTCTTATGTATCACTTTACATTAACAATATAAAACCTGTAATTTATATTGTATTTATCGTTATGCTGTTATTGACAAAAAAAAACAAACACTGAAACTAATATATCAATGTAATTTTAAAGTTTATATTATATTTGTGACAAGAAAATTGTTATCAACACTTTTATAAAAAATAATAGATATACTAAATGATATTGTTAATTTTTTCTTAAATATATGTTATTATAGAGGCATATTATATATTAAATGTTTACGCTTCAAAAGATAATATTAGAATACTAAAGCTAAGAACAATACATGCATTCGAATATATATTTGACAACTGTATTACTTAAAGAAAAATCATCTCATAATACTTTATCTACAGAGATACATACTCGTAGAAAAATTGGAAACAAAGAATCTCCAGAATTATTAATTGCATACAATGCAGTTTATAGTTTCAGCATTACTTGATTGTAAGCACTGTAACAAACTACATCAGTAAATAAATAAAATATAAACTATGCAACGTTTTAGAATTATAAATAATAATAAAAATGTATATATTGAGTGAAAGAACAAAAAATAGTTTTGTATATCAAAAAGTAGAAAAAAAGATATTTAAAAAGTAAATCTTTTATATAAAAAAAAAAGGAGAAGAAAAAGAAAAACGAAAATAGTTTCCAAGTCCATTATATTTTTACAATATTTCCAAGACCATTGTTTCCTCAATGAGCAAGACAAAGAAATCAAAGAATACATATGATAAAAAATATTTCGTTCAATATTTCAAAATTATTATTGCTTTATTATTATATTTATTATACTTTGTTATATTTAAGAAATGATAATATTAAAAATAAAAATAATTGTAAAACCGATATACGTATGTGATATACATCTAGCGTGTAAACGTACGATGTAAACCTATATACATATTCATTGTTTGATCTGTCATTGTTCTAAACAGCATCGTACTTGAACATAGAAGCTTACATTTGCAACGTATTTGTTATATAATTATTTGATGTTTCGATCATTTGATAAAACTTGAAATTTACGATTTGTCTAACAAATGGAATTTTTGAAATTAACTAACATTTGTGATACGTTAAAACGGATACGCCTGTCATAAGCCATCTAGTCATAAAATAAAAACAAAAAGAAAAGGAGAAAAATAAAAGAAAAAGATAACTTAAGAATGGCAACAACGATTGAATACGTTGAGTAACGATTAAGAATAAGAATATTAATACTTACTTCTTCTTGGCTTAACTCGCTCATGGCGATTTCTTTTTTTTTTTTTTTTGTATTTTTCTTTTTCGTATAAGGCAAATATTACACACTCACTCGCAATTTTACGTTAAGTATTATTAAGAACGTAGAAAAAAGATTCTGTTTAAGAATCGTGGTTAAGATATGTCAGAAATTTGGACAGTCACTCCACATCTGTTCGCGTTTGGACGTGAAAACAGCGATCACACGTCGAATCACGAGCAGTCACTGCCAAGCGGCTGTAGCCGCGTCGATTCTTCAAAACAGCTGAGCAACCAACAAACGGGACGCTCTCTTATACCAAAACATATAACTAAACAGTCACAAAAGCAGTTAACAATGTAGTACGTAATGCGAATAGTACGAATAAGTTTTTTTTTATTAACATTATTTGCACGCCGAATACAATTTCTATGATTTTTTCTATCTATTTTTCTGCTGTTCTATTTTCTGTTGTTAAAATAATTGAAATTTTCTCATTTTACTTCAAAACTTCAAAAATTAAAAAATATAAGTATTCCAGTTACATGTTGACTTCTTCGATAACAAAGTCAACCAGGGGTCGCTAGTATCGTTATTGTATGATTTGAGAATGTCCCCTAAAATATCTTTCTTAAAATAATTTAAATATGAAACACTAGTAGCTACCTTCAGGTATATTATCTTCACCAACGTCCCCTAGGAGTCATTTTGTCAAAAGCTTTGACTATATATTATATAGTCAAAAATTACTGCAAGAAATTTCTTACATATATATAGTATCAGCAATATTGAAATTAGGTAATGTAGTTTTCTAGTGATCGAATATGTATATACGCAATATTCTATAAATCAAATATATCTATGTTTATTTTGCAATAGTTATTTTATATTTTTGTTTTATGTTAAGAACGACATATGAATGTAGTTGCCTAGTCTATTATTGTTACGTGTTGTTCTTGGATATGTACTACATTTTTTAAGGAATACTTTTTTGTAATTATCCGTACCACGTATAGCATAAAAATAATGATAAAGCGTAATATAAATTTTATACAAAACTAATACCAAAATATTTCTTTTTGACTAGAATATAAGAGACAAACTATTATCTCTTCTAAAATAATCTGTGGTAAACGGATGATGTCTGGGGATTGGAGGCGTGACTTGAGATAGAGTTATCAAATCACGGCAAAGATTCGTGAGAAAACATAAACGAATTTTCAAATCATACGACGACATAAGACTAGTTGTCAGTTTTACGTGCTTCACGTCTGTTACCTGGAAGTAAGAATGGAGACATATGAAAGTGTTTTACTTGTTAAATCTGAAGTATTTGTATTTAAAATACCACCAAGGTCAACTAATAGAGGTTATCGGTAAGAAGAAATAATTTTGCCCAAGTATTCGATGTGACATATAACTGTCCTAATTTGATATGTTTTTAATGATTAAAATATATTTATTATTACATTAATTACTGTTGTTGTCATATATATTACAAAAAAGCTTTATTATGAAAATATTAAAATTTTTATTTTATATTTCAACCATAAATTTAATAAAATAGTGATATGTTAAAGATTTACGTCTATTATGTGTGTCATATTAACATATTTGATTGCAATTCCACTATTTATTTTGTTTAAGAAATTACATACACATTGCTGAATACTCGTAAAATATATAATTTCAAAATAAAATGTATTATATACTACAAATGTAAAGTTACTTATATTATTCTAATAAATTAAATTTTTAAATTAACTTTGTATATGTGCACTATAGTTTTTCTTTTTAGTAATTCATCTTTTTCTATATATAGAGCAGCTGATTGGAATCTACAAGAACCTTCGTGGACAGGACGAATGAGATTAGTATCCCAAGGAGATGCTATTGCTATAAAGCTAGAAGATAAGATTACAGGTGAACTGTTTGCAAAATGTCCAATTGAACAATATCCTGGAATAGCAGTTGAACCAGTTACAGATTCTTCTAGATATTTTGTGTTAAGAATTCAGAATGACAATGGACGATCTGCTTTTATTGGAGTTGGTTTTTTAGACAGATCAGATAGTTTTGATTTAAATGTTGCTTTACAAGATCATTTTAAATGGCTTAAGAATCGTGATCAAATAGAAAAGGAGAAAGAAACACCAAAACAAGAATTAGATCTTCGATTTAAAGAAGGAGAAACTATTAAAATTAATATGAAGATAACTGTAAGAATTTTTAACTATCTTTTTATTTTAAAAAATCCTCTTTTTCCAGTTTTCTTTTATATTTAAAATAATGACAAATTTATATTTTGCTTAGAAAAAAGATGGCAGTGAAGTTGTATCCAAATCAAAACAACGACCTAATTTAGGAGTAGGTTTGCCACCTCCACCAGGTGGTGTAAAAATTGCTCCACCTCCTGCCAAAACTCCAACTTCGTCCCCAGCTCATAAATCAGTTCAAAATCCAAATCAAGCATCTACAGGTTCAGAATGGGGTGAGTTTGCTAGTGCATCCCAACAATCATCTGGACCTAGTACAACTGTAGCAAATTCCAGTTGGGTACAATTTTAATTTGATAACAAATATATCATCTTTGGTAGCATATGCTATCTTATACATGCATACATGTATAAGATTACATTTGCATGTGTTCTTAAATATATCTACATTGTTATCTTTTAAGAAATAGTTTAATGTTAATCAAGGATGCATCTATGTATGATGCATATATGAACTCTATATGATTCTGACATCAGTACTTAATATAATGATTATATAAGATTTTATTTTTTTTTATTACAACATAACATTAATCAAAAAACAAAAATCCTGTTGCTTGTTTTATTTAATTTTCAGTTTTATTTATATTTCACACTTTACTGTTATTAAATAAAACTTATCTCATAGATGCATTCTTTTCTGTAGTCCTTGAAAGAGTACAGGTGTGCACAATAAATATTGTGTCCAAGTTTCTGATGTTTGTATATAATATAAAAACTAAAGAGCCTAATATTTCAGTATGCCTTAAGCTTTGTGAGACATTATACTTCTAAAAATTACTTACGAGTCACACAAATTACGTTGTACATATGATTAGCTGTGCAGAATTTTTTAATATAGATCTTTCATCATATTATTAAGATTAATAAAATGTAAACATTATCATTTCTTTTAAAAATAGAATTGTGGTAAACATTCAGATGTATTATACTCTAAACTAACTTAATTTAAACTTGATAAAAATTGTGGGGTATGTACTTGTACAACAGGTACTTGTAAAGATGTAATGAAGTATTGAAAATAGTAATGCATTGTTCTCTAAAATTGATTCTAAATGTGTTGAAACAAAAATGTTTATTTTTGTTTATAAATGTCAAAAATAATTAAAAACCAGATATATGATAAATTTTCTCTTGTACATACTATTAATAGAATACAAATTTTTAGAAGTCTTTAAAAATGTTTAACAAGATTTAATTATATGTTTTAATACTATATGTATTATAATTGAATCATTGCCATTCCAGGATTTGCATTTTCTTTAATAGATTATTCTAGATGTATAGGATCAATGTGTATAATGAAGGTTTATTAATTTAATTAATGCAAAGATTGCCAACATGTACTATGGTGTATATTTTTATCTGTAGATATAATAAATCACATAACCACTAGTGCATTTAAATAACTATTACAAATCATATTATAAATAATGCTACAAAAATCATGTTATAACAGTTCAAAACTTGTTCCATTATGTTTCATGAATTTGAATTTGAATTGCATCAACAGCGTTTATTACGTGCAACATTGAGTCGCAAACTACGCATGGCCATTGCACGACTAAAATGGCGTTGAACTGGACGTTGTAGTTGTCCAGTAACCAAAGTGGAATCTTCGTCACATTCCACACTACTCAAAACAACTAACAATACACCTAGCACCTGATGTAAACATATATTACATAGTAAGTTATATTTCATTTTTTCAAGTTACTAAAAGCCTTATATACTATATTTAATATAAATACAAGTAAATCAATTATTAATTCAGTGCTTCTTAAACTAAAATTTAATCAAACTCTGTATATATCAGATTATGATTAAATTGCAAAACTAATTTTTTTTTCATTAACAGTTTAAATATTATTTTTAAATTAAATTTATAAACGGTTAAAACTTGCATCAATAAATATAATTTTTCATATACACATGAATTATTCTTCTTTTGTGAAAAAGAAAAAAAATATATATATACACATAGATACATACACACACTCCAAAATTTGTAAAAAAAAGATCGAATATTCGATAATGTTTAAGAATCGCTGTATTAATATTCATTTTTAAAATTAAGAATACACCTTACTTTACATACCAAGCATATAATAATTAAAAGAGTGTAGATATGTATACTAGCAGCAGGCAATGATTCCACTTCTTTCAAAGCTTCTGCAGCATCAGAAAGATCAGGTTTTAATTCTAAAGCATGTCGCAAGTGGACAGCAGCTTCTTGGAAGTGACCATATGCCTAAAGAAATAGTATACGTTTACATTAGTAATTATAAAGTATTTTAGGAAGATATAATTATATATATATATATATATATATATATATATATATATATATATATATATATATATATATATATAATTTCCAAATGCACAATAAACTATTTTCCAAAAAGGAAAAATGAAAAGATATTACAAAAAATTTAATTATAGGCCTATGTAAATGATATAAGATTAACCTTAAATATTTGTCCAAGTGTTAGGTATTGTTCCCAAGCATTACGATCTGGAGGCTGTAATTCTAAAGAACGCCTTGCTAAATAAGTTGCATCATCTAAATATTGCAAAACCAATAGTACTCTAGCTAAATTCAGTAACACTTCTGCATTATGTGGTGAAACTGCAAGAGCTCTTCGAAAACATTCAATTGATCTTTGTGCATCTCCTTTTATTCTCCAAAAATTCCCAATTTGATTATAAAGCTGAACAGATTTGGGTTTCTATAGAAAACAAAAGTAATGATAGCAAATGAATATATTTATGTTGAATGTCTATATAATAAAATAACACAATTAAATAAAATATACCTCTCGCTTTGCTTTTTTTAAACGTTTTTCTAATAAGTCAATATCAACATCTATAGCTTTACCATTATTCTTTTTAAACATGAGTGCAACATTAGGTTCTGGTACCAATGGATGCTTATTTCTATTTGCAACACCAATGAGATTGTCATAATATGTAAAATTAACTGGTTTTCCACAATCAAGAATTACATCTTCACATTGCTGATCAGGTGTACATATCACTTGCTCATTTGATACTTGTGACGATAGTGGAAATGGTTCCGTAGAATTTGGTGCATCCGTCAATGCATATGACATGAATCGTCTGCCAAGGGGACGAAAGTTAGGGCTCTTTTAACGCTGAAAGAACAGCAAGCCACACACAAACACTAACTACGGGAAGAAAAAAAAAATTACATCAGATACATTGTAATGCTTCTGCAATAAAAATATAGTGTTACGTAAACATTCATAGGATACCATATAACAAAAATTATAAATTTATATGTACATTCAAAAATTTGGTGCTATTGACTCATTATATTATAACAATATGTACATTAACATATATCGCAGATTTATTTTGCATTACTGTATAAACAAAAATTATGTATCTTTAACATTCATGAACTATAACATGGAAATTAAGTAAAATAAAGCAAAGCAAGATTAAATTTTATTCTCTTTTGTTACCTCCAATTTATCCCAGTTGTTAGTTAAAGTTAGTCGTTATGCAGAAAAAAGAGAAAATGAAAAATAGATAAATACACATAAAATGCATACAGACACAACTAAATAGAGCAATATAAAACGTACAGTGAAATAGGAATGAATTATAATAAAAATATTGAACGCAGATTTGGAATAAAAATAAATTGAAATTTAATATATTTATGGTAATAATATTCTTGCATATAACTATTCTAATTGAATGAGAAATGTCTGACGATATGGGCATTAATAATATGCAAGGTCTTATTAAAGTTATATTCAATATATTGGATGCAATTAAAGAACATGCACATACAGATTCTTACCAATCATTTATTAATTATGAATATATTTTATATTCTTACCGATCTTGACTGCCTGAACCAAAACTTTTGCACTCGTGACAATAAACCTGTACTTTATCAAGCTTCTCTGATGCTGCTGTTTTACTCCAGCCTTGTCCATTGCCTATATTAATACTGCTGGCAAGAATATCGAAAATCGGATCATCTTCGATAGTGCTTACAAGATCTGTTGCTTTAACGACTTTATCAATGTTAAGCCTCCAAGAAGTTCTAGAATTTGTTAGATTTGCCTGAAGAACCAGGAGGCAAAATAAACAACCAAACATGCGCCCATCGAGCCATACATCATACATTTTCCTTTTACTTTTCTAATGATCGTTGAAGAAAATTAAGAAATGTAATCCGACAGGTAGTGATCTGTTAATGAAAAAGAAATTAATATTTCTTTACAGCACGTAGAAATTAGTAAAAATGCAGGAAACTACAAATGATCGCAAAGAAATTAAGGTATCGGTTGTTTAATCAACTATGCACCAACATGTCAGTATTGCAACCTAATGAAAACCAAAATTCAATACTCTCTTTTTATTGGCAGATTTACAATTATTTTTACAAATAAATCTGTTTATATATAGGTATATAATTCTAATTACGAATAAAAATATTATGAGCGAAAAGAAGAAAAATGGAAAAGACATTGTACTGTTATTACGGCATAGAATTATTGTGAAATTTACTTGGAAAGAAAAATGCACGGTATAAAATTTATAATGTTGACAATCTTGTATGTATGTAGTTATGAAGTTACAATGATTCCATACTAGTATTTATGTTAATATTTTTTCATTAATTAGAAGTCTACAAAATGAGAAATAAAACATGAATTTTATTATTGTTAGTTGATATTTAATATAATAAGACTCTAATATGACTTCTAAAACTGTATGCATTACTCAAGAAGGTCCAGCTAATGCTTTAGCTCTTAATAAAGATAACAGTCAGGTTGTCATAGCTGGACGTCATGGTAAGTTGCTCTCAATAATTCGTATTTATTTCTTTTATAATAATTGATTTTCTTTCAGTATTTAAAATATTTACACTACTGGAAGATAGATTTGAGGAATCTTGTAATTTGCGAGTTGGCAAAAATTTAAATTTGAATTTTTCTTGTAATGATGTTGCATGGAACCTTATTGATGGTATAATATTTAATGTGCTATGTTTTTTATTAACTAATAAATAATTTCTATGTCTTATATATGTAATGTTTAGTAAATAATGTTTAGTAAATTTTAAAGTATATCATATATAATATTAATCATTTCTTATATATGTGACATGATTTTATTGATAAGAATAATATAATATATGATTCTTATAATTTTAAGATCATATTCTGGCAACAGCTGCTACAAATGGTGCAGTAGTTGTATGGAATTTAAATAAATCTTCAAGATCAAAGCAAGAACATGTTTTCATTGATCATAAAAGAACTGTTAATAAAGTTAGTTTTCATATGACAGAACCTATGTGGCTAATATCCGGTTCACAGGATGGAACTATGAAATGCTTTGATTTACGTATAAAGGAAGCTACCAAGACATTTTATAGGTAAAATACAAATAATTTTACTTTATATATTTTTACTTTACATTTGACAGGGTTAGAAGAATATAATCTTTGATTTTATTATGAATAAACTTTATATTTCTAGTTTACAAAAACATATTTTATTAACAGAAATAAGTACAAGAAAGAAAATATGAATAAATTCTTACTAACTCTAGTCAGTGATAAATTGCAGCTATAGTAAAGCTTTGAAATCTTAGTAATACGGAGTCTGTACGAGATGTTCAATTTTGTCCTCATCAACCACACACTTTCGCTGCTGTTTCTGAAAATGGTCATGTTCAACAGTGGGATTTGCGGAAACATGATCGTTATTTTCAACATTTTACTGCACACAGTGGACCTATATTTGCTTGTGATTGGCATCCTGAAACTAACTGGCTAGCAACAGCATCTAGAGATAAAACTATAAAGGTTTTTCCTTTTATATAAAAATTAAATAAATTATATGGCAATTTTATAAAAAAAAAAATGTCTCCTATTAGTATATATTAATTGATTATTTATATATTTATTTTCTGCTGTGCTAAAAGGTTTGGGATTTATCTGTAAAACCAAGTTGTGATTATACTATACACACAATAGCTTCAGTAGGAAGAATAAAATGGAGACCACAGAGAAAATATCATATAGCAAGTTGTGCTTTGGTTGTAGATTGTAGTATAAATGTATGGGACATTCAACGACCATATATTCCATTTGCTAGTTTTAATGAACATAAGGATGTTCCTACTGGTGTAGCATGGAGAGGAAATCCGCAATCGTTCCTGTCAACAAGCAGGGTAATATTAATTCTTTTTTCTCTATATTTTATGATATAAGAAAATTATTCTGTTTATTTAGGATTGCACTTTATATCATCATATATTTAAGGATGCTATTAGACCAGCTAGTAAAGCGAATCCACAAGGCATTGCTTTAAGTCCCATCGGAGATATTGCTTATGCTTGCAAAGTAAATATAAATATGCCAACTACAGTAAAACAATTAACTAACATAATGAGGTTTGTATTTTATGATAGTTTATATTTTTTGTTATTTGTTAAAATTTATGATACATATATGTTTTTGCTTATAGAAAAACACCAGTAACAAATGATACATTTTGTATGGCTTCAAGTGTAATGCATAGATTTGTTGTAAATATACCGCGTGATCCAACTTGGTTTAAAATATGTGCTGAAGGTTACATACTTACTGGAAAATTGAAAGATATTTGTGATCATAATGCTGCTGTTGCTAGTAATGCAGGTAGAAATGATGTAAGCTTATTATTTATAATAAAAGTTGTGCAATTTATTTTAGTTTAGTTTAAATAATATATTAAATAATATATTAAAATTTGACTAAGCAGTAAGAATAATTTCAATAATAATATTTCTTTAGGTAAGCATTGTTTGGAATATAATAAAAACATTATATACAAATCCATTAGGTGCAATTTTAAAGACTCCACCAACTGTTTCCAAGGAGGACATAGTAAATACTCTAAATTTAGCACAAATGGTAAAAGTACCTGCTATTGACCAGTCAAATCCAGGTGGATTATATTATTTAATTGATAATTACAATTATTATTTCATAGAATTTATATGTTTATTTAATGAATCTAATTTCTATCTAATCATACAAACTTAATTAAAAATCAAATTTAACTCTTTTGGGTTGATAGTTAATTAGATAAACACATGTATCCCATTAGTCGGAATTATTTATATTTGCACAATGAGTGGTGTATACTCAATCTTTGTCTGGAAACCTTTATTCTAAGGATTTGAAGTCTATCTTTGTTTATATTTCATATGTACAGCATGTACAAATGCAGTGCAATAAGAAAAACTGCGTAAAGTTCGTTTTTTAAATAGTAATTGGTAAAAGTGCTGTATTGGGATTACTTAGTACACAACCATAACGATAAAAATGCCTTTCCCGGAATTATCTCAATATATGATTTGATGATAATAATAAAGATGCTTTATCAGGAATATCCTGGACTTCGATGGAAAGGAGTTTACATATCATCATGTATTTTTAATACAAGTATAAATGCTATTAGATATTACATTTTAAACATATTTTATAATCTGTTTAAGGACATGAAAATGATCTAAAATCTTTACAAGGAGAAGCACCTACTAGTGCAACGAGCGGTGGTGACGATGAAACTGAAACTGATGATACACCAGAAAATCTAAACTTCATAAGTAGCATATTACCTAGGTAATCCTTAATTGATAATACTAATAATGTGAGAGACTGAAACTTGTCGATACACCATGTTTTTGGTGTAGCTATACATCCTAAAAGAAACAAAGTTACAGGAAGTCCTTTATGGGACATAAAGGTCAACCTAAAGGAGATTTTCTATTTGGCGATAGTGAATTTGAACCAATTAGTACAGACTATAGTTCTGGATATATGCAAAATATGATAAATGATGATAGTGACTGGACTTTGCCTAAGGAAGCATTTCCTTTACGGCATGAAATAAAAGATCGATCTCCGCCACCAGAACAGTTTCCTAATCATTCCCCAGATATCAATGATGATTCTGTTTCTGTAATGGTTGATGATCAGCCATGTCAATTAATAGTAACAGCTATACCTAAACCATTATTCTGGGATCCTACACATTTGATTGAAGAAGCACTAAAACATCATGCAGCACTTAGGGATATTCAAACTTCAGCATCTGTTCTTATCGCTTTGGGTGAAAAAAGAAAAGGTCTAAATATCGAAATACCAATTCAGGAACATTGGTTATTAGAATACATAGACTTATTGGGAAGGTTTAAACTTTGGAATGTGACTACACAGGTTTATAATATAAATAAATTTAGTATCTTTTTTATGAAGCATATTAACAAACTTGTTAATCCGTACTATTATTTTATAGATAATACAGTTGGCATGGATTCCATCTATTGCACAACTAAATCAACAATCAACAACTATACATGCATGCTGTTTAGCATGCACAAAACCTTTACAAAGAGCAGCATGGTTGTGTGATCGTTGTCATACATCGAAACACGCTCTTTGTTCTATTTGTCATCAGGTAATACATTTCATAATGTTTCAAAGACTGATAACATTATGTTTTGATAACTGTGTATTCGTTAAAAATGATTATTATTTTAATGTAGATTGTCCGTGGACTATATGCATGGTGCCAAGGTTGCACACATGGAGGACATGTAATACATTTAAAGGAATGGTTTCGTTGTAATCGTCAATGTCCTACTGGTTGTGGTCATGTTTGTGAATATATTTAAATGTCATAACCAGGGATTAAGGTATCAAATGTAATAATAAAGAGTATGTAAAAGTAAGGCAATATATTATACACAATATTGGCATGAATACACGTTCTTGTGCATAAATTTTTAAATAATTAACTATTAATGGTCAAAAATAAATAACAAAGATTGTATAATTCTTTATCATGTACATGAGAGAATGATGTGATTTTATTTTTTTTATCATACAAAATAATTTAATGAATAAAATGTTTTAACTACATATAAATATATCCAGTAATTTCTCTTTACGATATGGATTTTCATTGGCAGGAATTAATTTCATGTAACATAGCATAAAAATTTTGTTCTCATAATTTTCTTACAATTCCGCATAATTATCTCTATCGTAAAAACATTAATATATCTATTTATTATCTCTAAAAGCATATAGCTCATGGAGGTAGCTCCTCCTTAGGACTCACCAATTGCTTTGTAGACAGGATCATGATATTATCTTCCAACTTCATGCGTTGTTCAATCTGTCGTTGATGTTGTAAGGTACATTAAAATCAAATTTCTTTATGTAAATTTAATGACATTTTGACATTGATTTTTTTATAAAAATGAGATGTATTATTTGCAAAATTCTGTAACTTGTATATTATTTGAAATATATACTTCTTATAAGAAAGATAGTAGAACCAGTTAGTCTATGCAGTACAATAAATCTTATATAATGTGGAACTTGATCATCTTTATATTGAAATTAAATTAACAATTTCTTTATGTTAAAATAATTTCATCGCGTATAGATAGAATAAAATAATGGAAAAATAGCAACCCATTGTTATTTAAATATTACATTATCTAGTGTGACATCATTTGTATTTTTTACCCTTTTCTTATCTAATTATAATTATAAAATTAAAGACAAGTATAATCTATGTTTTAAATTTCATGTGTATTATGATATTGATACGAAGTAAGTGCTTAAAGCATTATTAATGAATGGAAAACTGTAAAAGTTATAAAAATTAATATTTATGTATGACCTTGTACGTCTATGTAAACACGTAAGCTTTTTTATGGAAAATTAGGTTAAAAATTTGAAAACAAGAAGAGTGCAGCGGATACATCGGTTTTGTTTTATTAGCAAAAAATAGTAACAAATTACTTAGCAATTCTAGTTTTTCATGATCTATTCTGTTCTTGTAAGTATTGATGTTTTATTGATAAACAAATGTATCATTTTTATTCGTCATACTAGAATCTTTAATATAGCTTGGCAAAATAAAATACTTGAATTTTTTATTTTAGGAACATGTATACACATAGACAGATAAGATCATAAAAGTATATATTATAAATTAAGATGAATTAAACATATTTTTCATCTATAATTTTCCATTTTATATAGAATTAATTGTTTATAATAAAAGCTGCCAATATGTAATTATATCTGCACAATTTCATTACTCATATCATAGTTATTTCACAAAAAAATTCAATTAAATTATTGGTTATATTTTGATTTAGTAACTTTAAACATTATATATATGCTTAAACATTGTTAATAATATATTGTTAGGCAAACCATTTTAAATTATTCAAAAATCAAACGGACTGTATATCATGAAATAAGTAACATGTCGTATGATTCTTATAAAATCTATTATTTTCTTGATTGTTTCATGATCTAATTTATAATTGTAATTAAAAAAATTAACTTAAATTTACAATTGTCACATTTAGATTTATATATAATAAAATTTACATTATTCACTATAATTGCAAGCAAGACTAAAATGTAAGATATTTGTTATAGTAAAACTCAACGTGTTACAATTTTATCATAACTAATAATTTAAAAATGGAAACTGATATGTTTACAATGGTAACAATAAAATTATGTAATAATATTTGCGAATATTAGCAAAATAGATTGCATGCAATTACATGTATATAATCACACTTCAGTGTCTTTCTATTTAAAGATCTTTAAAGCATGATCTAAGATGTAGCAGTTATATTCTTATTACTTTCTTTATAAATAATATAGTAAGATGCGATAAGGATATTTTTGCAATATCTATAGTTAAAAATTCTCAGTACTTACAAGAATATAGATAAACTATAAAATTTGCGGTAGGCTCGTAACTACATAACTATATGTATAACAAATTACAATTTTTTGCTAATAATTCAAAACCTGTAAGTTTTAATCATGTTATACCGACAATCTGATATCTTTCACTCTGCATCCCACGAAAAATATCAACTTTGAGGAATATCACATATTTCCCACTCCCAAACAAAATTAACATGTATGTGAGAGACCTATCAAAATTACCAGAGCAGATTTGTGTTGCAAATTTGTTTTTAATGACAATAAAATAAGAAACAGTATAATAATAATCGTAATAATAATAATAATAATATTAATTTTATAATTATAAATTGTTGTGTAACACTAATTTGTTGATTTATTTGATAAATTTCTTTTTCACCTCTTACCACCAATTTAATAATTATTTAATAATTATTATAATATTAATCATATTTCTTATTCTTACTCTGCCATCGATATTGATTCTCTCGTTCGCTCTCAATTATGTTTTGCACCTCAGACGAATAAAAATATCGTGTTTTACATTGTCAAGAGGAGAGTCTGTTAGTATTGTATATTACTTATACCGCGATGCAAGGAATAACCCTCCAGTGCCACCAACTTTTTTATCTAATAAAAGGAACACACGCTCTCAAGTCGTATTTGTTTCCTTATTTTTCTTTTGCGATGGAGTCTATTTTCCAATTTAGGTCATACTTTCCCAGCTCTGATGTCCACATCTCTATTCATATGTACGCGCGTGTACCGTCATATGCAGAACCTTTTGCATAAATGAGTGTATGTTACATTAGCTAACATTCGGGAATAGTCCATTATGCCGGTTTGGTTTCCTTGTATCATATCCTTGGTTTATATCCTTACTTCGTGATTACGGATGAACATTTTATTCCACCACTTTCAGCACCTTACCGATGGCAATTGTTTTATCTATAATCATATCCATATTATATAATAATTTGTTATTTCAGAGCGTTTGGAATTAAATAACTAGAATTTAATTAATTCTACACAGATTTTCTACATAAAATCCTACTTTTATTGTGCAAATAATCTCGTTATTATATCGCATAAATCAACAAATAAAATATTTTCTCCACTTACTTTCATCTCTAAGAGTAAACCGTCCCATTTGCGGAAATAATTTGAATCTTTCGAGACATATAACTCCTGCACATTCGATTCTCATAATTGCCACTTGGTCTTGCTTAACGAACCTTGGTCTCGTTTTACTTTTATCGCCAGTCTTCTTATCTACCAAGCAGATCAATGCCTTCACCGTCACTTCTTCTGCAGCACAATGAATGTGCATCACTGCGCTATATCCAGCACAAATAATGCTCTTATGCTCCAAAATAACAACTTGAGCATCAAAAACTTTTCCAGTTTTAATAGGGTTGTTACTGTCGCATAAAACAAATCCGGGACTCACATCTTCTTCTTCGATACCTTTCAGTTTAATTTTAACGTTTTCTCCGGGTCCAACCGACGTTACTTCTTCGTCATCTGACCATAATTGATCAACAGTTACTGCCGTCTAAAATCCATAAAATATGATTCATGTAAAAAAGACAAGAAGAGACATTTTCAAACGTAGTAATAAATAAAGAACATTTCTTACCCTATTCGGCATAACTAATAATGACTGACCCTTTTTGGCTTCCCCAGCTTCAACCTTTCCCATAACAACCGTACCCATATCTTTATATTTATCAACAATTGGCATAATAAACGGTCCATTGCTTTTACGATTTAATGAAGGTAAAGAATCAATAAAAGGTATGAATGGAGGTCCACTATACCAATTACATAGATGTTCAGGTATAGGATCTTTGAGACCAATGCCAAGTTGACCAGATACTGGCATAAATGTAAGATCCTTTGCAGGATTAAACCCTAATTTACGAAGATATGGCAGTATCTTATCTCTAAAATAATAGGTTTTTAAATCGTCTTTAATAATATAACGAGATTATTTTTACTTAATAAATTAACGATGATATACCTGCATTCATTATATCTTCCTTCGTCCCATTCTACCGTTGGGTCATCCATTTTATTTACTAACACTACCAAATGTTTAACCCCTGCAGTTTTAGCCAGCATAGCATGTTCCCGCGTTTGGCCACCTCTATCAAAGCCTGTTTCGAATTCACCTTTTCTCGCAGATATAACTAAAACCGCAAGGTCAGCTTGCGCTGCTCCGCCAATCATATTGGGTACAAAGCTTTTATGTCCAGGAGCATCCAGTATCGTAAAATGCTTTCTTTCTGTTTCAAAATACGCTCTACCCACTTCTACCGTTTTTCCCTTCTCTCTTTCTTCTTGGTTTGTATCCAAAGCCCAACTTAAGTACCATGTTTCTCTGCTTCTTTCCTTTGCTTCTCTTTCATACTTCTCTAAGGTACGCTTATCCACCATTCCTGTAAGTGCCATAATTTGGCCACCAATTGTTGATTTCCCTGCATCTAGAATCAACAATATGCACTTTTATTATATAAGAAGTAACTTATAGAATATCTAATTCCTAATAATAATAATAATAATTCACATTACATACCTACGTGACCTATAAAAACAACATTGACATGTTCTTTTTTGCTTTTAGTATCTTCTGCAACCTTAATAGGTTTTTTTTTAGGTACTTTAACAACCATTTCTTCATCCTCCTCATTGTCAGCCTAAATGGAAAAATAAAGTTATTGATAAAATAATGATAAAAATAATTATTTTTAAACTACAGTCTATGGTATATTAGGATTAGACAGATATTTGTACATTATAGAACAACATCAGGATACATTTATTTTTTACCTCTTCATTTTCAGGAGTTAACAAAGGATCACCATCTACAGCTGCTTCTTCCCAAGAATCTGCAGGTTGATGTTCAGGACTCGTATTTATTGGATCCGTAACATTTGGAGGTGGTGCCCCTCCTCCAGCAGGTGGTTCTTCTACTCTACTGCCAATTGGATCAGGTAGAATCGTAGGAGTAGAATTTCCTGTGTAGAAGAATAATTTTTCATTATATTGTTTTCTTCTAATTAAAACAATTTATATCATCAATCATCACTATTTACGGACACTTGCATTTACACCTTACTAATAGGGATCAGACGTTTGCTCTCTAAAGTCTTGTTCTGCTGCTGCCTAGGTCTGCAGTAAAGAATAAGACAAACAGCCAGTGCAGCAAGCTGATGGGTAGGTATGTTGATAGGAAAGGGAATACTTCTTCCAATGGCCAGCACCACGGTAGATGGAAGTACTGTTTAGAGAACAAATGTCCCTACCCTACTTAATAATAACATTTATTCATTACATAATTATGAAGGAGTCGATATTTATACTTTAGGAACTTGTTAATTATATGAACAATATAAATTATCTATCGTTCCACGATAATAATGAAGAATATAAATGCTATAAGTCTTTTTTGGAAATAGATAGTATGAATTATACAAATCTTTGAAAAATTACCAATAGCACATATAAGAAAGAATGTATAAACTTCGTATAATATGAAAATCTAAAATAAAGTTATATTTTACGTATAAATCGACAATCATCACAATCAAAATATTTAATATACAAATATACATCATACATTCAATTCTAGTGAAATGTAACTAAAAATGAAAATAAATAAACAAATAACAAAAAAAATTAAAACAAATTAAAACCAAATCCAGAGTATACTGTGAACAACATTATATATACTTACAATGTTGTAAAACATTCAAATTTTAAGGTAGAGTGTAAACGTGTAAAAAGTAATGTGGATTTGACTTTATAAGCTTTAAACATGCAAGGTACTACGGAATGATAGAAAGTTACTACAATGATAACAGGGGATATAATAGGGGGGTTAGTCATTAATACGCGGTAAAAGTAGCATCTTAAGTTAACATGAAATTGTTTGCATATGTTCGAAAATAATGTCCTAGATTGATCCAGATAAAATATATTAAATAATAATTAATATTAGACTAACCATGATGTATTTCAGAAGGAATAGAAGTGGTTACAGTATTCAACACAGCAGTGACAGCACAAGGACTGTCGGCCGTGGAGCTATTCTGCGTTGAAGAATTTATGCAGAAGGAAGGCACGAATTCCGCAGCATTCACATTCAAAGTTGAAAATTTGCTTTCGATGGACTTATCCTGAGCGGGCACGATGTCTCCGTTATCCGCCTGCTGTTCCCATGAATCTGGTGCTATACTGTTCGCCATATTTATCAATGTTTCGGCACACCCAAGTAGTGTTATCCAACGTATGACACAAAGCACGCGATACTATTCGTAGGATTCCGATTCAATCGCAAATGCAATCGGGTAAGGTTTAAAAAAATAGTTATTTGTAGTATCCGAACGCACTGTACACGCGTATCGGTACTCCGCGTGCGACCCCCGTGGTCGGTTTCGTTGCTGTACTTCGCCGGAACTACAATAATCAAAATATCAACTTCCCCTTCCACTTGCCTATATCTATATTTTCAAATAAAATATGAATTATTCATATCAGATGTTAGGTAATCTAAAGAAATAAGTTTATATATTATTTCAGAATAACAAACGACGACCTAATTTTAAAACCTGATTTTACAAAAATGTTTCTAGCATGGTAAATCCAATACATGTTGTGATTTACTCTCGCACCATTCACAATGTTGCGCAAGAGTGAAACTTCACTGCATATTAAACATTTTCATTGGAGGAAATTATGTATTCATTCTAACTACGCCAATCAAAAGATTTCAATTTAAGGAGAAATTTAATCGTATGCTTTTGATTTGATGTGACTGATAGTTGGACGATTTGTGATTGGTTATTTAGAATTTTAATTCTTCATTGTCACATGTAAATAAAATCCATTGTCATATGTAAATAAAATCCGAATTAATTTGCAATTAATTGAAATTATTTATGACAAATATAAATATTAAAATTAAATATAATTCCATATCTATTAAGAAAGAGAATATTAAGAAAATTATTTAATAAATTAATTATTAATTCCTGACATTCCAAATCTTTTACATTTGTCAATTTGACTTATAGAAAAGATTTCAGATAATAAGATCTATATAATCAATATTATAATTTATAATCATTCTATAATAATTAATTAAAATACAAATTCAAATATTTCTTAATTTTTTTTTCATCGAGCGAGTTTTATAAATTTACCCGCGATATTTGAATTATAGAATAATTCTATTTTCTCCCTCTCACAGAAGAAATATCAACCATCGATAAAATTAAATTTTGATGAATTTCAGTAAATTTTATTTATTTATTAATTTTATTTTAAATTAATTTCATTACATTTATAAAAAAAAAATTCGTAACAATTACTTCTGTTAACTTTGTAAAAAAAATGAATTTAAATTCTAAAAAATAGAAGGTAGCATCAACTTTATTCTGGAGTGCATTATAAATGGAAGTTTATTGTTTTATACACGTGAATATTAAAATAAGTCACAACCGCATTTACATTATACAGAAAATCTATGTATGTGTATACTTATACATTTTTTTAATATACTTCATTATTTTCCAAAGTAGGAAGACAATGATTTTTAAATGGTTGTACATTACTTATCTTTTCTTAAAATTAAAACAAAACATCCGAAATATCTCTAGTCAATAGAAGAAAAAGTATTACATATAAATAATCATTATGTTCATAGAAAGAACTTGGAAAATGAATATTTTTAAATTATACAGGATGTTCCATTTAATTTATATATTTGTGTTAATTTATCGTTTTTGATAACATGAAAAATCTAAAAATAATATTTTTATTGAATATTAAATTTGTTAAGTATATATGTTAAATTATAAATATATATATATTAAAAATATACAAAATATAGTTTAAGAAAAAAGATGAGATCCTAAAAAATATCTTAAAAATGATTCTAATAATTAGAATATTTAATTCCTTTAAGACAGATGATCTCTTTTATTTTAAATTACCAACATTAACAAGAAATATTTTAATATTCACATAAAGTGGAACACCTTGTATACATACTATTTCAGATATACATTTTATCTATTTTATAAATATTTAATTATTCTGTGTTTAAAAATTCATAATTATTGTACTTTTTAACTATAAAAAAAGAATTTCATACTATCATTGTTGCTAAAAATACATTATTAATATTTGTTGAACTGTTATAATGATATATATAATAATGGCATTTATATTTCATAAAATAACATTGTCACTTTTGACACCAGTGATCTTAAAGATATGTTTGCTTATTTAAAAATATTTTATTATTAATTTCAATATTTAACAATCTTAATTTATTTTGTGACAAAAAACAAGAATTTCTTCTGTGGCTGTATTAACATGATGAAATCCTATTTTCTATAAAGGTTTCCAATTTTGTACAAAACATTTACCTAAAAAGCTCATAACTTTGTATTATAACATTTGTATACTGTTAAATTTTTTATCTTTTTATATACAATGTAAAATTGTAAACTATGTGTATAAAATTCGCATAGAATTGCCAACATTAACGTGCATAATATCTATTTAATATTATCTACATTTAATATTATCTTTTTTTTGTTACAAAAAGAAGTGTATAAAAACTAAGAAATAAAATGTTGAAAGTGCTTCTAAAATATTTTGCTTCTTCAACAGCAAAGAAGCTCTTACCTTATCTATACAAAAGGGTATGTATGTATGCATTAAAACTACATTTGGACCCTGCTTGCTATACTTCTACTTATTTTTTATAAATGTAAGTATTGCTCCCTTGAAGACATTTATGGCAAATATTTAAAGAAAGAGAATTAGTATATCAACATTATTACAGTATCTTCTGTATTATAGCAATGCCTATTTTAATACGTTAATTTTAAACTTGGAATTTTATATGTTATATCTTTCATATATAATTTTCATCATTCGTATTGATGATAACGATTTGTCACGTTTCTTGTAAAACTTTATCATTGCACTCTTGTTCTGGTCTTATAAATTCAAGGTCACTTCCATCATCAGAACTGGATGCATTATCTTCATCAAAATATGGTTTTGTAATTCTTAATTTTTCTTCATATTTCAAAATAGAATCTAAAATATAAATCCAAGATCTTTAAGTAATAAAATGTATTAAATATAGAATAAAAGAATGATTACTAATTTATATTTTTCAAGAAAAATATTGAAATCAAAGCATTAACTTACCATTCAATGGTCTTCTGAATATTTCAATTTCCTTCTCATCATTTTCAAAGAAGCTTGTTCCATCTTTAAGTAAACTAAATGCATAAGCCCTTCTATAGTTTTTTTCTGAATTTTGTGTAGATTGACATATTGCACAAATACAAATGCCACAAACAACAATAGCTAAACATACAGTACCTACAAATATAGATAATTTAATGTTACATTCTTTTAAATTAATATATTACTACATATTTCTTTTCCTAAAAGTTACTAAGGTTTCTCTTAAATATAGATATATTATATGTAATTATATATCACTTTCCTACCAGCAATTATAATGAAGACCAATCTTGGCAATCCAAAAATACTTTCGTCGCGTCTTAACTTAAAAGTTAAATTTATAAACTTATTTATGTCCGGTACAGAAACTAATCTTGTTTGTTGTATATATCCAGATGCAGTAGCAGTAATATTGTGACTTCCAGGAGGTAATAAAATCCAATATGCTCCTATTGTTCCACTTCTGATTTGATGTACAGAATCATCATAAGATAAAATAGCATTATCAATAGGTTCATTATTTTCATTAATAATGTATCCTTGAACACCTTTCGATACTTCTTTTATCATAGCTAGTAAACTATCTTTATTATCTTGCCATACACTCATTGAATCATCTGTATTACAACAAGCAATATAAACGTCCATTATTAAAGTACTTGTATTCAAATATATGTAATCTAATAAGGAATCTCCTCTTATTCCAGCCATTCCTTTGCCACCATGTATTATAGCATTATTCTTGATGTTTAATTTTGTATCACATTCTGCACTATTATGTAGGCTATACCTTGTATAAGTAGATGCTAAGGCTTTTAGTACTTGGTCATCTTCACTTTCATAAATTTCTTTGCCTATTCTACTGTATTGACTTCCATATGGTATTTCAACATGCCGAGATCCAATATTTAAATTTACTATTAAAAGAGCATTAATCTGTTTGAACCAATCAATAATCATAGCTGCTTCATTGCTTAATTCATGATGTATAGGGAATGATAATTCATTACTAATATATGGGGTACAAGAATCGTTCTTGATTAAATCTGGATATAAATCAGGAACAATAAATATTGATAGCTTGTCTAAATAACTTGTAATAATTTCGTTGTTCTTATAATTATCTAAAAGATAAGAAGCAAATTGTAAAAGTACTTTAGATGTTACTGGTTTTCCATAAGAGATTCCAGCTGAGAAAATTATAGAAGGTCGTCCTGCTCGTTTTTCTTTTGCTTTGGCACTAATTTCTAAAGATAAAATCTGATTGCTTTTTCTCGTTTTACCAATATCATGTAATGTTGATAATTGTGGATATTTTATATTTAAATTGTCCAAAATATGATTTATAACGCTTAACTGTTTACTTAGCTTATTTTGTTTGTACTCTACTTCTCCTGGTTTTATCTTTCTCATTTGAATATTTATATCTGTTATACTTTGTTCATCAACATGAACTTTTAAAGTTTTAGACGCATAATCCGTACAGAAAAATGTTAATACATAATCTCCAGGAATAAGTATTATTTTAAAATAAGCCATATTTCTTGATAACTGATAGGTTTTTGTACCAATCTTAACAACAGCTTCTCTAATCGGTATTCCATGATCATCCGTAATAATTGCTCGAATACCACTTGTAAGATCTTGAATAAGTTGCATTAATGGCTTCAAAGTTCCTCTCCAAATCGTTGATATAGTATCTGCAGCTGGATATTTGCAGCATGATAAATTGATATTAATCTGTAAATAATTAGTATCAAAAGAACTTTTAATTACATAATAATATAATTCGTGGAAATCATCTCTAATTAAATTTGTAAATATAGTAATTTTATCATCAAATAACTTATACTTACAACGGGTATATTATATTCCCTTTGAATATATTCAGCTATATTTATTTCTTTGTTAGTTTTAATACCACAAGCTTCTTTATGCATAGTTTGATCATAATTTTCAGCCAATGTTTTATACACATTTAATTCATCTTTTGCATAACTAAAATTTTTTAACTTAATACATTAAGAATTATACTTATTATTAAATTAATCATTATATGCTATAATTTTTGTTTAGTACCTGATACTAAAGGAACCACCTCCTAATACAATAATTACATCATAAGCTTCATTTAATAACATTTTTCTAAATGCATTTGTAATAATATCCATTTCTTTAGTTTTATTAGTATTCTGTGAAAGTAATT